CGTGTCAGAACTGGGCGAACGTGCATGCCGCGACCTGTGTGATCTGGACCTCTGTCGTCCTGGACGGGCAGCATGGCTGGCCTGTGCAGGGGGCATCGTCTGATCGCCAGCATCAGCAACAATTTCCAGCTCCTGCTGCAAATGCGGTGGTCGGCTGTATGTAGTTGTTGCTGGTGGTTCTGGGGGTCTAGGCACAATCTGCTAACGGGGCTGAGAATCCTTTTGCGACCGCTCTATAGCCAGGTCCGCGGACAGCTGATCGATCTTGGATAGAGCATCATGGAGCTGCCTAGTAAGCCGCTCCACAGTCGCATCCTGTTCCCTCCTCAGCCGCTGTTCAGCATCCAAATTCCTCTGCCTCTCATGTGCCAATGCATTCTCCAGCTCTGAAAGGCGCTCCGCATTGCTGGAGACATTTCTATGCATTGACGACATAGCAGTCTCAGTCCGCCCAAATGCCTCCCTGGTCTGACCCTCCAAATGCGAAACTGCCCTATGAGATGTCTGGGCAGTCTGCTGCACTGCTGATGCCGTCTGATCAGCCAGCACATTCATAGCATGTGCTGTCTGGGCGGCAGTCCCTGCTATTGCCTGTGCAGCTCGTTGCTCCAGATTCTGCATCCCCTGTGCAGCTTCGGTCCTGGAGACCAGGGCACCCTCTGGGTTTCCCAAAACCACTGCCCCCGGCTCTGTCCCGGCAATCAAAATCCTCTGTTGCCGCGCCTCGTATGACGCAGCAATAACTCCCACACGTCCAGCTCTAGCGACTGTCGCCACTGTCCCGTCAATTTCCTCCACACCATCCTGGCCGTTCAGCTCCATCAAATCACGATCTGCCATGATCCCACCCACGACACTGATACGATGATCAACTGTACTGAAACGAAGTCAATCGACGTAGACCTGATCTCGGGCTACTGAAAATCCACTGAATCCTATCCCCAAGTAGCCAAGCAGCCTTTACCTCCCAACTTAAGTTATCCTGCTTCTACTGGTTTTCAGTAATCACTTTCACACACAGTTACCCCCAGTACTCTGCAGGGTGACCTCTCGGTCCACCTGGTAACTTTCGAGAGGGTGCGTTTGTGGCTACTAATAAAAACTTAGTCCCAGCGTCAGCCGGACAACCTAAGAAGGTGTCCCTTGCCTAGGACGAGACCGCTGTAAGAGGTCTGAGTTGGCCTATGGCACCCCCAGCCTGTCTAATATGATAAGACTCAGCCACCCAAGGTTCCGAAGGGGTGACTGGCCTGTCTACCTCAGGTGGGCAATGGCCTCACCCTCTGACCGGTTCCAGGGGAGATGCCTCCTCTAGGAGGTAGCACTCTGGACCCAACTGGGCCTGCCTATTGCCGTGCTCAATCTCCTCCCCCTTCCCTTAGTCAGGCCCCCAATCTTGGTGCAGAGCGGTCTGGTGGTGACCCGCCTGCAGTACCTGCAAAATAAGGTGAAGCAGCAGACGTCCCCTACTTCTAGAGCGGGACCTTCACCCCTATTCTATAGCGGGTGGCACCTGAGGTTGACTGAATCTTCCAACTGCTGGGTGCTGGCCTTCGCGTGTTCGGCTACACGAAGGGCGCCTGGCGCATGCACTGAATCCGCAGTTGAATCCGCAGATCTGGCGATCGCCCAGCGCCGTCGATCCCCGAACACCAATCGCCCAACGAAAAGCTCCTCAGGCTCACAAAACACTATCCCGCAGGCACACAGCACGGCGATTAAGCACCCATGGAGGTGCTGACCGCTGCCTGGGGTGTTGGAGGCTTCTGGAAATCCGCAGCCCTGTCAGGCCGCGTGGTCACTCTGGGTTGTTGCGCCTCTCGCTCAGCTCCCGGCTCCGGGCTTCGCGCTCCGAAACCAATTTGTTGCGGCCCCGTTAGCAGCCGCTGGTTTCCGGAGGCGTTGGGGTCGCCCTGCCCTGCAGCTCGGCTGTTGGAGGTCAGCCGGCTCTCTCCACCTTGGACGGTGGGCGTATCCGGGGCAGTTGCTCCTGTGGTCATGCGGTGGGCCCAATGCTCGACGAGGATCGATCCCCGGGGCCTGCTGTTGGCGAGAGGTGGCGGCGCAGCGAGGCGGTGGTTCGCTGGCTCGCGGGAGGCCAGAGAGTGGGCCAAAAGTGTTTTTTTACAATGATTCACTGCATGCGCGCGCACATATCGCATGCGCGATGCCCGATCGCGGGTCCATCGCGGTCACATCATGACAAGACAAGACAAGTGCGCGTCCAGGCGCATTGTCACCGTCCACCATTCACCTAAATCAGCTCCACATAATCCCCGATGCTTCCATCTACCGGTCCGAATCCCATGCTAAAGTATTGCAACTTCAACTGGCCATAACTTCGCCGTTTCTACACGGAATTGGACGTTTCAAGTCGCTATTGGCATCAGGAGCTCCTGAATAAGCTGATTTTGCCGTATTTGCACTTTTTTGACCAACCGCCGCTTCAGAAATATCAATTTTAGCCTAACCCCAAGCAGCCACGTCACAGCAGCGGACACGGCAACAGTTTCACTTTCGCAAGTATGCTGTGCCCGAATTCTGTGGACCCTATCGCATAACCCCCATATGGCTAGGGGATGCTGCGTGCTGATTTCTTATCGCACTGTGACTGCTCAGTGCCTGGCCTCTTGGCTCTCTGCCCAGCAGGCCATACAGGACTACCTAAGACACTCGCGCCATGCAGCCACGTTTTCTGCAGGCCCTGGAACACTCTTTGGGCCTAGACGTTTGCACAGAAGAGCAGGCACGGTGTAAGGTTCATCTGCACCGATTGGAATTGTCGTGCCCTCGCTTGCACGTATTCCCGAAGACAAAGCAGTTGAGCATGGAACATGGCATCAATGGGTGGGCAGGATGGGCTTGTCCTTCCACTACCCCACATGACCACACATGACACAGACGCTACATTTCCAATCTTGCGTGGTGACCATCACTATTAACGGCCCGAGATTATCACTGAATTGTACCCACCTGAGTCAGTCTCTACTTCCCGGATGTGAAGCCCTCTCCATCCAACAACTAAGCCAAATATCACGCACTAGGGCGGGGAATTGGGGAAGAAAAAACAGGGTAAGAGTGGGCCATGGGTGGTGCCTAAAATTGATGGGATCGCCTCCTACTCGGAGCCCGAATGTTAACCGTCGATCCCCAATAGTCGTCAGTGTCTTCGCCATCCTTCATCAACCCTTTTCATGACATTCGTTCGCAGGAAACATAGCTTCAGGACATACAGCGTTCTCATGCTCAGTAATTGCAGACAATGGGATCAAGCACGGGTGATTTTACCGGAGCTCAACGAATTCCCGAGTGTTAATGGATGCAGCTCATTGGTCACTATTAGATTGAGCAAAGAACGGCGGTCCATTCTGGCCGTCGTCCCCGGAGATAGCGCAGTAAAGTCGCCCTCAAACGGGCAGCTGAGACATGCCGACAGCCTCAGCACCACAGCAGTTGAGGGTGCACTCAACGAACAAGCTGCGCCCCTCGCGCGAACCGGCTCTTCACGAAGAACTGCTTGGCATGCCGACACCACCAACAAAACCGAGGCGACGGCAAGGGGAAGCTTCAAACAGAAAGCAAAACCCCCACTGCCAGCCATCCATGCAAATACGCTTGTAGAACCTCTCGCACCTGCCGCTCAGAGCGCCCCAACCGGTCGCAACCGCTCCTCAACGGTCGACGAAGTCAAAACGGAGGTCGGGTCCACGGGTCAGGTCTGCCTTGTCCACAGCACGTCAGTGTATGATACGGGAAGCACTTCTCTCCGCCTCGACAAGGCTGTGCAGCGACGAAGGGTGGTCACTTCTGGCCAGCAGCACGACTGCGCTGGCACTGTTGGTCTTGAGCGCCAAGGAAAGCGGCTCGGAAAGGCACAGACTGGCCGCGACCTTCGAAAAGGTCGAGCGCTATTGCGCCCAGGCTGTGGCGAACGTTGCGCACACGGCCAGGGGAGTCAGGCAGCCAGGCTGAGTGCCTAGACTGCCGCGAGAGAGACACACGAACCCCACGCAACCGTTCTTACAGCTGCCAGGCCGAGGGCAACAATAGAGAGTTCCCCACGGCGCTGTCCGCACCCCTCCGGCAAAATACCACCCATTCCTAAGAGATGCTCTTTTGATACCCAGAATCTTTCTGACAGGCCCGCCGCTTCACCACAGCTCAACCCAAGACGCCCCACTGGCCACAATAAGCCACCACGTGTGCCCCAAGGGCCACAGTCCCACCAAACAACCACACTTCCCGTGGTCAGCAACCATGTAATGCCCCATGGGGCATATTCCCATCAAACAATCACGTGGCGCCTCAACGCGCCATTCCTGGATCCGTCTCGCCACGATTCACGGGTGGCCGCTAGGCGGGCTGCCCCTGAACAAACGCACGTGTCCAGTGGCAACCTGGGTGTTCCTCAGTACTCGCAGGCGTATTCGGGGTATGTATAGAGCACCCCTGATTGATGTTTTGGGGTTTCTGCCTCATTGCGCGCTAACCTACTGGATGATTTTCAGTATGGGGAAGGTGTTGAGGCTGTCGACATCCCCTCTGCACCATATCTGGACCTCACAGGTCGCCAGCTGCGTGATATCATTTATGCACTAACTTTTTTGATGAGCCCCATTAATTGGCGACCCGAACAATTGCAGAATCATTTTGGGTTCTCATTGACCAACCCATGGGCGCTGCCATCCTCGGGCGAAACAGGGAGCTGATGCATCGTCGGCCCCGCCTTGGCGTGCCAAATCCCATCCCTGGTGTCACTGAGGACAAGCACAGCGCCAACACATTTTTCTCCTACGCCGCTCCCCCTCCTGGCTGCGTAACGCGCGAATGGCCCTCACCCTCCATGTGCGCCAGCCCCCACCCCACGTCCACGCTTGCGCCTCCACAAACAGGAGCCCACGTGCCGCCCTGCCTCCCCACCTGCCCCCCTCCGTGCCCTGTCGCTCCACGGGCCTGGGGGACCCGCGGGCGTTGCGCGCCGCGCGGTGCACCCCGCAGCCATGGTCCGCTCGCTACAGCCCCTGCGCCTGCTGCGCCGGGGCGTGGGTTTCGCGTTCCGCGGCGTAGGCCTGGGCGTGCGAAAGGGCGTGGGCGGAGCCGTGATGCTGGCCTGGCCGGCCAGGCGCAAGTCGCGGCGGGGCAAGAGGGGCGGCAAGGCCCGGTCCGGCGCGGGCGAGGAGTCGGAGGGCCTGGGGGAGTGGTGAGCGGCTGGGGGCCGCGAGCCTGGGCTGGGTGGGATGTTCATATTGCCATCTTGTCGTTGCTTGCACGGGGGAGGGGGGGCAGCGTGCCTGCGTGGTGGGAGGTGGGGGACTTGAGGTGGGGGCCGAGGGCCGGGATGGCCCTGGTTGGGTGGGGAGATTTGCGTTTGGTTGATAGTGATGGCGATGGGGAGGGGGGGCAGGGTGAGAGGGAGACTCGATGGGCGGGAAATGGGATGCTTCAAATTGCCCCTTCCCCATCCCCCCACCCCCCCACCCCTTTGGGGAGACATGCTGCTAAAGTGCGGACCGGATCGGAGGCGGATGCTGTGAATGCACGGCAGCTGCCGCGTGCTCTGATAACGCCAAGTGTGTCGCCATCGGAGTCCCGAATGGCAGCTTGGTCGCCGACGTGCTGAGCCGTCCGCCTCGCCGCCGCAGGTCCGCCACGATCGACAGCGGGCACTTCCCACAGAGCCTGTGCGCGTACGACAGACCGGGGCGCCAGAGGTGCCAGGTGGGTGAGGAGTGCAACGAGCCTGCGAGCGCGCTGTGCGTGGCCGTCGCCGGCCAGCTGCGGTGGCGCAGCACGGCACCGCGTCGGCACGAGCCCTGCGGCGGGGAGCTGCGCAAAAGCAGGGTGCCGTTGGCGCGTGATACCTGCTTCAGAAGCCCTGATGCCTCTCAGGTCCTTGGATGGCATGTGTGCACATCTGCGCATCATTGGCCATCTGTTATGGCTATGGAGAAGTAGCTCTGCAGAACGGGATGAGATGGAGCGACCCCACTGATGCCCGCCCCACTGTATGGTGATGGATGACAGATACTGAAGAGATGAGGCTGCACACAGAAATGCAAGCACTGTGCATTCTGTGCTCATCTTTGTGCGAAAATTTGTCGATGTCATAAAAATCACTGCAGGTACATTCCTGGATGCCTGCCCTTGAAAACTTTTGGCGGGAGCGCTGAGATGCCAGGCATACTGCATTTCTTTGAATGCTTGTCGTTGCAAGCCCGCATGGCTTGTTGACATCAAACCTCTGGCAGGCCTACCAAACCAAAGCTGCAGCAGGCTCTCACCGTTGACTTTGAGCAACAATGTGCTGCACTTCATTTCTAATGTCACCCAACAGTTAGCAGGGAGTGCTTGTCATGTGTGGATGAATGTGTTGATTGAGGATTCACTGCATTTCACTTGGGTCTCTTCACACCTCTAAACACATGTGCTTGTGCTCAGGCGTTGGCTACTGTGGGCTGCCGGTACTGGGGCAACTGGCTTGATGGCCGTGGCCTGCTCAAAGTGAAGGTCTACGAGTTTGCTATTTACATGGACAAAGACCAGGTAACCTTGCTTGGGTGGCCTCGCTGCCCATTTGTAACGATTGGGCTTGACGCCATTTGCAATTGTGTCTGACAGTGCAGGTATCCACACAATCACACATCGCTTTAGAGACTTGGTTAATTGGAGTTGGCAACTGCATTGCATTGGTGGATGGTCCCGTGCAGTCCTGTACTTTATTGTATCCTATTTTGTTGTCAGAACATTTTGCCCCCTACCTCCATTTTCACTTTGGCTCCACGGGCGCCACCTAGCCTTTTAAAGTCCTCTGACATCTTCACATTGCATGGCCTTGCGCCCCACGCCCACCCACTACATCAAATGCCCCTGCAAATTGACAAGTACAGAACCATGTGCAAAGTGACAAGTACAGAACCATGAATTGCATCTCGTTTTCGTAGTCCACATTAAGTTGATGGTGGTATTAGCACACAACTACTATTATGCAAGTGGAGAGTCATTTCAAGAATTTCCCGTTCTTTTGACTGTTATTATTGCTTGAGCCATTGGGTGAAAAGGGGAGATGTTTGACATTAGGGAGCAAATTGGCAGAGCTGTTGTACAGGTGCCTGAATTCGCCCACACAATGTTGGGACCTGCTTGCTGTCCAAAGACCAAAGTATTCAAATCACAATTCCAGAAGAATATGTCGCCGCTGATAGTGTCTGTTGTCTGGCTGCACAGATGAGGCAGTCAGAGCTTGGTCGTGCTCTGCGATCCCGGGATTCATGCTCAGAGCTTGTCCCAGAGGACTACCAGAAGCTGCGCAGCAGCTCTGATGTTGACATGTCTCTCGTTTTACGAACATCCCGCAGTCTACCATTGAAGCTTGTGGCAAGCGAATATGAAAGGATATTGAAGAAGAGGCTAGTGACGGTGGGTGGTATCTGCTTCTTATATCCTTACTAAGCTCCTCTGCCAATCGACGCACACCAAGTGGAAATGTGGGCGGTCTGGAGGGTATCGATGTTGGCACTTGGAGGTGCCGCCTTGTTTGATAGCAACAGCCCAGAGACTGCAGGGGTCCACCAGGGCTATTTTAGCGACCTGCAGTTTGGAGAACTGACAGAGATGTGGACTTTGCTGGGAGACCTGACAGGGTCTGATGCATATTGTGCTGGGGCAGAGACTGCCTGGTATCTGTGCTTCAGGCTGTCACAGTTGCTGGCCATCAGTCTATCCAGACAGTGGTTTCTGACGGAGTGCGCTTCTGCTTGATTGTGCAGGTGGGTGGGCAGCCAAGTGATCCGCAGCTGAAGTACATGCTATCCCATCTCGAGGACGAGAACGTCCCTCAGAAATGCAAGTCCCGCAGTGGGCATGTGAGGAAGGGGACGACGCTGACTTTCAAGAAATACAAGAACGGGCACATGAAGACTTTTGCTGGTGACGTGGAGCTGGGATCCATCCACAGTGCCAAGGTGTGCGCGGCCCTGTTTGATTTGTATCTCGGGGAGCAGCCTGTCTGCAAGGATGCCAAAATGCTGGCTGGGAAGCGAGTCGCAGACTTCGCACTGCGACAGGAACAACAACCGGAAGTGTCAAGGGTCGCAGCTCTGAAGGGATGGGGCGTCATGGGAGCGCGAGCCAGCCCAGAGGGGCCGTGCAGCAGCCAAGGACCGTGTCTGGTTCCAAGGCACATTGGTTTCGGTTTTGGTAGCTTTCCCCAAATCGATTTTGGTCATCTGAGCGGCGTGACAGAGGGGGCTTGAGGGGTGCCCCTGCTGCTTGGTGAGGAAGTTGGAGTCCCGAACCTGTCGCATTTGTAACAACAGCTGCTGGCAATTTCTGTGGGGGTGTGGAATAAAATGTTCGGAAGGTTTTCTTTCCATGCCAGGGGGGGGAGGGGGGGACTTCGAGTGCATCATGTACTTGGAGTGAGTTCCACACGCTGTGATGGATGCTGCCAAATTTTGTGGTAGATGGGCAGTCTTGGAGTTCGTGTTCCTGAATGATGCCGCCCTTGTGCCACACATATTGCAGTTGGAACATTCTCTCCCCTTGGCTTTGGAGAATTCTTGAGGAGAAAATCGTCGCTTTGGGCTGAATGCTGTTCAGTTGTCCTGCTGCCATAGTTTAGGTGTATTTTCCTTTTTTAGGGCATAGGTTTCCAGGAGCTTGGAGAACTTGGAAGTGATTTGAGGGCGCCAGGCTGTATGATTCTATTTGTGGCATGCGTCGTGTGCGATGGAACACTTCAGAGCGGCCCGGGGCGCTTTTGCACAGTTGGGCCACTGAAAGGAACACTCCTGGTGTCTTGACTGCCTCTGAGAACTGTTGACCGGCAAGATATATGGCAAGTATGTTGATGTGCAATCTGGTTGTAACTGCCTTGGTGTTCTAGGCTGGTGGGTTGTCAATATGCGCATGGACGAACCATCTCATATTCTGTGGCGGAAGCTAACGCCCCTCGACTGAACTTTCAAGTTGCAGCTGCCCAGCTAAGCCCTCGACCTCAATGCACACTATCCCTTCAGTGCATAATTCTCCAAACTACTTGCTGGTGCACTCAGACGAGGGATGGTAGCGCGTGGGCAGCGCGACAGATACCACGGCTGTTATTGCCAGTAGCAACACGGATCATGGGCGCGCTGATCCACTTCACTATGTGTGCCTATGCGCTTGTTGATGGGTCTGCGTGAACACGCATGAGTACGTTTCTATGTCTGCGTGTTTGTTGCTGTGTCCATGCGCATTAAACAGACGGGCTGGCTATACCAGCCCGCCCAAAGCCCGTCTGCCCAAGTGGAGCAGCCCCGCCGCGGAAGCAACCAGTGTCAACGCTCAGGCCCCCACATATGTCTAGTGCACATTTCGTGCAAGTGAACCCGATGGGCGCCAGGGGGTGCTTCCCGTCATGTCATTGGCCCAGCCCCCGCCCATTTGCGCATCTTTGCCATGCAGTAATGGCAATGGTGAAGGCAGCGGTGATGGTGACACGGCCGTCCAATCAATGTCGCTCGACCCTCCCCGGCCTTCCTTGGCTGCCGGCGCTCGAAAGGCAGCCTCCCCACGCCCTCGACACATGAACAGTCACAGGGCATGTGGCCCCGCCAGCCCGACGGGCCCATGATCCACTCCGAAAGATCAGCCTTCTCAACCCAGGCATGGCCCGTTGGGGCGCCCCAGCCCACCGCATCCCATATGTCCTCACTGGGGAGGGGTGGACCTCGGACTGCGCGGGTCAGTTGCCCTCGCCCGTCGACCCCCCGGACGCCCGCGGCCATGCCGGCCATCCCGAGCTATCGGGAGGTCGGCGACCGGCCCCGGCGGTGCCCGCCCGCCGCTGACCCGCCGGTGGCCCCCGGGTTAGCCATGCGGCCGTCCCTCCTCCCGCGGCGGCCCACGCCGCCCGCATCCGCGCCCCCGGTCGACATGATGCGCCTCCTGCCGCTGGACTTGGCCGAGGACAAGGAGACGTGGCTGTGCGCGCCCGGGCGGGGCCCCGAGGTGGACTCCTGGCCCGTGGACCTGGGCGACGATCAGTTGTCGTCCGACGCGTCGGAGTCCGTGAGCAGCGTGTCGGTGGAGTGCGACGAGATGGAGCGGCTGGATGTTGGCAATGATGCCGACGGGCAGCACGGCGGTGGGTTCGCCGATCATGCCGGCCGGGCCCGGGCCAACCCGGAGCCACCGCCGCGCTCGCCGCCCAATCGAAACCCTGGCCCGGGGCAGGGGGGGGCATCATCGTTTCGCGCCGGTGCGCGGGACGCGGGCGAGTGGGATGGGCGGCACGGGGAGGTGGAGGAGGTCCAGCTGCTGTTTCCCATTGATTGCTCGTCGGACGACATGGTGTGGCTGCTGGGTGGGGCGGAGAGAAGGGCCCGCGGCCGGGCCGGGTCCAACGTGGATGTGCTGTTCCCGGCGGGCTGCAGCGACACGGACAAGGACTGGCTCACGCGGGCGGGCAGCCTGTCGGAGATGGACTGGCTGGTACCTGCGGGGGAGGCGCAGAAGATTGCGCCGCAGGTTTCGTTTTGAGGGGCGCGCCTTCTCTGAGGAGAGGGGAAAATAAGGGAGGCCATTCTAATTATTCGCGACAGTGGCCGCGCCCTGAGGGCTTTGGGGTAGCAGGACCGTGGTTTTGGGGGGAAATTGGTCTCGGCATTTGAACATTTCATTGTCTGTGGAGAAGGAGAACGCCGCCTGCACCAATGGTTTCTTTTGTAGCTGCTATTGTGGGGAAGAGTGCGGGGTGCGCACGCTCTTGAGGGCCGTGGATCGGTTGAACTGTCTTCTCGCCACCGTAGTAGTTGATGTTGAAAAGCAGAGATTAGCCCGTGGCTCCATCGACTGTGAATATCAGGACTGTTGGGGATGGCTAAAGGGCTGCGGAGTTTTAAATCTTCCCCTATACCTGAACTTGGACACGACGTGAGGGATGTAACACAGAATGGGTGGCTCGCCTTCGATGTCGATGGCTGTTGGTTCTGTCCTTGAGTGTCGCAGGGGCACTGCAGCCGATGGACTCAGCTTGGTCGTCCTTGTCTCGACCAGAGCAAGTGACCTGCTGCTAAGGTTGCTCCTTGCGGTGTATGTGCACAACCTCGTGGTGCTGGTTCAGGGCCTGGCGCTGCAGCAAGTGGCCAGACAGTAGGGCCAGTATGTGTCTGCCCGTGGTTCGCGTCCCTTGCATTTCAGCGCCTGCAGCAGCGTGTCCGCTTCGATGGTTGTCCACGTCGAGCAGTCATTTGAGAAGGACGTCGTTTGCGCTGCATAGCTTCAAGATAGCGGGACCAAACCAACATGGCACTATTGCGATTACCATCGCTGCACTGGTGCTACGCCCTTCGACCACGGCGCAGGCAATTTTGCTGCAAGGTTGCGGCACATACCGGCATCACAAGCTGTGGATCGTACATGGGCTGAGCTCAGCATCCCCAAACCTGCGTGTTCTGATGGAGAGCAGGTTCCTAAACCATGGCCAGCGTCAACAGACTCGTATCAAGCGCACATGTCTCACCTGCAACGGGTAATATAGATGCCGTGGAACCCGTGTCATGGAGGTCCCGGCAAGCACTTAAGCTGCCCAGCCGAGAAGAGGTGCAGCCAGCGCATGTGTTGTGCGCCGTGGTGCACATGATGTAATTTCCACCGTATGACGTGCTCTTGCGCCGTTTGGACACTGTACTCAACTGAACGAGTACATGTGCCCTCGGCGGTTGTATCGCCGCGCCACAGCACGATATCGCAAACGACATCTCGAAATGATATCCTTCGTGACGCCTGGCGATCATCGTCCAAACTCCGGCACTTGCTGCGCAATCCGGCTCCCTCGCCTTACAAAGCACTGAACACACTAAACGCAGCGTCACTGGGACCAATCTTAATCGCTCAGACATGTGTTGGAGATTGTTCAACGCCTCCTTCGTTCGCTACCAGTACATCCACACCATCCAGTTCCCTTCCCTGAGCGTCATCCGCGTGCTATATCATTAAAGAATTTAACTTAGATTCTGTTGTAACACAACCGCACTAAATCAATGAAATGGTAAACTTGACCCCCTGAGATTCCGGGCGCCACTAAGAATTGTCGCAGTAGACAGCCTCCACCCACGAACCAGCGCAATAGGCAGTTGAGTTGTCTTATGCAGCTATGATGAGAGCCACCCGGGCACCATATGGGCGCAGCGAATCAAGCGCACCCCTCTGGTCCATTATTCTGCCATGCCGATGATGATAGGCTAGTGACTATGAAGCGTGCTAAGACTACGATAGCAGAAGCGGACACTCTACGAATCGACCTATTGCCGGCCTTCCTATACCGCAATACCCCCCACCAGTCTTAACGCTTGCCCTCGACACAGAGAGGCCACCGCAATGGAACACATGACCAACATGTCGTTTGAGTCAATTCATTCGCACACACACGCCCCCCTCATCGCCACCTAAAGCCTCAATATGCATTCATACGTTCGTTCGCACTTCCGCTGAATACCGGAGGATATGCTACAAACAACCCCTACTGCACAGCGCCACAAATAACCTCGAAACCACTTCGGCGCAACCACCACCTCCCAATGCCCAAAGAGCCATTAGCGCAGTCCTGTCCTCTGCATGCCTTTTACATGCCGTTTCCCATCTCTTGTGACGACAGGACCTCGCAAAACCCTGCGCCTCCCTCGCTTGCTTTCCTTCTCCTACCACCAAAACTAACGCACAAGCACCTAACCTAAACTATGATCTCCCTTTCATACAGAACCATGGAGGGCTCCAGGCACAGAACGTCTTCTTCTGCCACCTGCTGCACGTCCTCATCGGACGCCAGGAACCATGTGCTCTCGGTCTGTGAAATGAAGACCCTGCGAGCGGCTAGATAATGGCCCGTCCCCTGCTCCCCCACATGAATCACCATCGCCACGAGGTGGTAGATAGAGCCCTTCGCTTGGGACATGTGGACGAAATTGGACATGTCCAAAATCAACGGGACAGCAAGCCCGCCTCCCACCATTGCGGCACTGTCTTTGAGGGAGGTCCGCCTTTGAAGATTCATCAGCAGAACCTGGAGGGCAACCAGATGTCAAAACAGGGTTTCTGTGATGAAGCGCTGGAAGAAAACTAAGCACCACAAAGGGTTGCTAGGGAAGTTAGGTGGGCCACCTGGTGTTCTCCTGTTGACCCCACGAAAGTCTCAAGTGCCAGTGGTGCACCTGCACAAGAGCTAGCCCTTGCTGGTACTTTTAACACTGACCGTGTGTAGGCTTCTCCCCTTTTACTGAGCTGCAACAAGCAATTTCTCCTTCATGTATTCTAACCACTAACATTGCACAGCGCACAGAGCTCGCCAAGTGCATGGTGCCTGCTGGTACAGATGCAGATTTTGCAAGGTCTTGAATCCCCCAGTGGCAGTTGCACTGTTTCTAAAAGGTTGTGAAGTGCCACTGGTTTAGCCACCACATATGGACGGACAGGCACTGGATGGGGAAGCAACAGGACGCAAACTATATAAACCCCCACCCTGTGACTTTTGCACCAATCCACAATCATACCTGTTACAGATTTGTGGATCCCACAACAAAGCGCCACCTGGATGCCTAGGCATTATGCCTTATCAACTGTGCAGTCTTGCAGACAGGGGCTAGGCGAGTGAATGCAACATACCTGTGGCAGTCTGCCGATTTTCGTTGTGGCAGTAGCAACACTCCTTTTTTCCCGCCATGGGATGCCGCCTTGCTCCAATTCCTCCTTAAGTTGTGATACATTGTGATCCAGCCCTGAGTCGCCCCTGAGGGTCTCCCTGATCCTGCTGACCACATCTCCACTCAGCGACAGTGCCTTTTGGATGCCTTCTTTCTCGAGGTCGATTCTGGCGTTCAGCTTGCCTGCCTCATCCAGGCGACCAGCGGGCAGGCTGCCGGCCGATTCCATACCGCTTGGCCTGTAGGTACCCAGCCAGCCTTCCCAGGACGACGTGCAGCTGGGTGTTGGGCTCTCACGAAAACTGGTCACTGGCGTCGAAGACCTGCTGTAGCTCGCCAATGACAGCTGGCTCTTTGATGCCACCAGGTGGCGGCCATCTGTGACCAGCTTGCGCCAATCTTGAGCCCATGCTCCAGTCTCCACGACAGACCAGGTTGACAGCGATGGGTTGGAACTGGTGGATGATGGCAGACTGGTGAAGCTCAGCACCTCTGGCTCGTCTGACAGATGGTTTGCCGGTCCTTTGCTCTGCCCTGAGCTGGTGCTGCAAAGTGACGTGCAGCTGGGTGAGGAAGGCACGGTTTTCGCCACAGCAGCCGTCCCCAACTCCCAACCCAGCCAGTCCAGCATCCTCCCAAACCACCCCACCCGAGCTGGAGCAGGGCTTTGCTCATCACAGTCAGAGAGCTGATCTCCATCCATGGCAAAGGAATGTTGCCTGGTGGGTGCCCCGTCGACTGTTGCTTGCAGCGAGCACCTGGGGCAAACCAGGTGTCCAACTTCTTGGTCCTTGCAGAAAGCCATCAGGCAGTCTTCCAGGCACGCACCTGCCTGCACCCTCTCCACACCACCTTCAACAACTGCTGGGAGGGGCAGCGTAACAGATGCGAAGTCTGTGTACTTGATTGAGTATCGGTACCCGCACTCACAACTCAGGCTCTCCGCCAGCAGGCCGTTGCAAGGGCCCTGCTCCCTGGTCAGCCGCATTTGAACATCGCCCATGTCGTCAGGGGTCAGCATCTGGGCCCCTCGACCTGTGTTTCTTATTATGGGGACGTCCAGCACCGGGTTCCAGCCCTGGGGAAACCCCACAAGGGTTTCAATCCTGCAGCGCAGTCTGGAGCTGAACGTCAACGGGCGCCTCTGCTGCAGCAGGAGAGCATCGATCTCCTTTTGCACGACGGACAGAACTCCCTGCGTGGCCAGAACCCGCCGCCAGATCGTCAGATCACGCCGTCAGATCGTGTCGAGCAATTCCCTGCCGTCGGCTGATGGTTTCATTGGGGAACGCCGCCCAACTCACGGCCTAACAAGGCACGGCTCTGTGTCTGCAAACTTTGTTCACAGTCCCTAAATGCGCAGCACCAGGCCGCAGGCGTCCGCGGCATTTGCTGTGTACTGCAATATCAATGGATCTCCAGATACAACATTGAACGAAAGGCCCAAGGGCGCATCCAAACAATCCATCGCGGAGATGCCCTTGTATAAGAGCTCTGAGATTGGCCAAATTCCGAACCCTTGGCAATAACGGAGCCTACCGCTGTAAAGGGTCGCGTTGATCCGACGTCTCTCGGCGGCAATATGACGTGCCGGGCACTTCTGAGAAAGCCTCTCTGCGCACGACAGCCCTTGCGACTTTCTGCGCGCACTGCGGCGACTGCAGTTCCTCACAACCGATTCCTGAAACAGGGGTCCTGATCTCGGTAGAGCTCAGGGCCCGGCGAGGGTCGCGGGGGGTTCGCACAAACCGTTGGGTTACGTCATATGTCTTTCCCTGCTTGTCGCCCCGATCTTGCGACGGCGGGTCAAGCGGCGAGATGTACGGATCCGTGAGAACGAGAGCTCATCGCGCCCACAGCGGTTCCGCGGCGCCGGGATCGGCGACTGGGCCTTCGGCGGCGCATCCCTTACCTCGAGGGCATCGCGCACGTCCTGCTGGGCGCCTAGGGGGCAGAACGCCCGCTCTTCCCGCGCGATCATGGCGTGCAGCACCGCCAGAGAGCTGCGACACAGGCGGCAAGGCGACGTGAGCAAAAGCGACACAACTCCGCAAACCCTACTATCATCCGCGCCCGAAAAGTTACCGCCGCCGAGATCGCGAAGGGTGATCACGTCGGCCGTTTTGCCGATCTCGGGCTCACCTGGCTGTGCCTGTGAGATCCTGAATCCCCGGGCGTGGCTGCAGGCGGAGCAGGGCGTCCGCCAGGGCGTGAATAAGCGGCGCGGCGCCGTGGGCATTGCGGCCGGACACAGAGACCGTCGCCTTGTACAAGGTGCCCACATAGTGCACCAGGGAGGGGCAGCTGGACAGCGCCTGGCCCAAGCAGTACGAAGGGGGGAAGTCAGCTGGAGGTCCGATCGTGAAGGGGCGCGGCGGGGAAACTAGGAAGGGTGGTCCGCGGACCGCGGCAAGGTGCCCGATGGCCGAAAGCCCTCGGCGCCGGCGACCGCCTCAGACAGGGCGCGATCAAGGCTCCCGTGGCCGCAGAGGCAGGACACGTGATCGTCCGCCACTGTCGACAGGATCCGCTTCACCTGCGCGTGATGCGAACCGCGGGCTGCCGCGACGGGCAGCCAAGAACCGCCGATCGCTGGATTTGGCGTCAGGGGCGGTCAGAACCGTCGCGCTTGCCTGGACGGCTCCCAGTTTCGGAACTCGGCGTGGGCCTGCGGGCAGCCAATGATGCACCGCTGGGGTCCATGGCGTGGTGGACCGTCCGCGCGGTGCGTGCGTCGCACCCGGCTGAGACGAATCCGCGGGCGCAAGCGTCATCAGCCGCAGGTTACCTCGTCGCGGGCCCCAAGAAATCGCCGCAGCCCGCGAGCCGGCTTTGGCCCATCCCGGCCGCGAGGGGCCATCATTCCCGCACCTGCAGCAGCGCGTTCGCGAAGCACGTGTTGCCGAAGTTCGTAAGCCCGGCGATGCTTATGGGCACCAGGTCAGCCTCTTCCATGCGAGGCGGCGTCCGGGATTGGGGAAGGGGGGGAGCGGGCGGGACCCGTCGCAGGCGGCTGGTTCGTGCAGCTGCGCCCTCTCCAACCGCCCTCCTGGCCCGCGCTATCTGTGAGGGCGCTGCCCCTTTACTGGCCTTCAAGCCACCCGCCTTTGCGGGCTGGGTCCAGGGACCGACTTTAGTCCGCCCCCCACGGGGCCCAACCCTGAAACGCGGACGCTGACATGGACCACAGGGGGGGCTTGAGTAACCCGAATTTTGTAAACCAGGAATTTTTCAGCGCCCTTCTGGCATGGGAAACTGTCTCGTATGTACGCCGTGAGCCGGAGGGGCCGCGTGGCAGGGGCGGATTGGTGCAGGGGTCCCGTTGGACGCCTGTCAACCACAGGTTGGCCCACTTTTCGGCACGGTCCCCGCATACTGGACCTGGGGGATGAGGAACGCAGCTCATGAGCGCTGTGGGGAAACTGCGAGGTTCCCTTGTCCGCCAGAGGCGCCGCAGCAGAGTTGAGCTCCAGCGCCCCCAGGAGCAGGCCGCATATCAATCAGGGAGAGTGGAATTGCCCTTTTGGAAGCACATGGGTCGTGTAGAGGGGAGTATGCTAAATTGCGGCACAATGACGTTGTGTTTGCGTTGCTGCACAATTACCATCACCTCACGGGGCGGATCGTGTGCCCCTGAGGGCCAGCGCCTGTTCCTATACCTAGCCAGAGCGGTACCCGCCCCTTAGTAGCACCAACGCTTAAAACGAAGGGCTTTCCAATACGTCTTTTCGCGAGGAAACCTGTTGCATTATTCTGGTTGCGGAGGGCCCCAGCTGGCCCACACCTGTCACCTTCAAAATGCAGCCATCAAAGTGCTGGGCCAGCAGCGCCGACCTGATGGCGTGATGTGGTTGCATGCCTCGTGGATTGGCCCAGCTCTGATCGATGGAGGAAGAGGTTCTTCGGTTGTTGAGCAGCCACGGGCCAGCTGCAAGTTGTTGAGAGCCAGGCAGTCCAAACGATGCCTACATACCAATGTTACTTGACATTGGCAACAGGTGGATTGAGTGCCAAGCCAGCATTGCGACAGAGAGAGCAGCACGTGGCAAACAGCTGTGGGGCCATATTTCACATGGATGAATGGGCCACGGGAGCCAGGAGGCGAAGGATTCGCTGTTTCTCTGTCGGAAATGATTGTGGACAGCGAATCTAGGCTAGCGACTCCTACCTGCATTGTGTATAGTGGTATCAATCCTTACACTACTTTAGGTGCTTCTGCATCCCCTGTGCGGCTGGAAAAGAAAATCGGCTAATTGCTGTAAGGGTGGCTCTTTCCTCATTCGGCGATGGCTGTTGCCAGTAGCCAACATTCTGAAAGGATGCAGTGGGACAGAAAGCCGCGCTCAAGGACCTTGGCTGCCAGCATCTGCACTCATCTCAGCTTTCTGCACATCATCTCTTCTCAATCGCATGGAGGCTGACCAGTGAAGGACAGCGCACGTTGCACATGCCAAAGGGCCTCCCACTACCTGGTTCTTTCCATGCTGTGGTGGTGCCACATCCATCTGCGAGCTGCTCCCCAAATGCAGGCAGCAACTGGAAACTAGCACCCTCTCTACAAAAGGCGCTCCGAGCCCACGAACCCAACCATGTACTAACACATAACTGGCACACATTATGTGACACTGTTACTGCAAATTTTTGCAGTGTCACATCATCTGAGTGCAAGGTCCCATCGCCTTGCAATGGGGTCGACACCGTCTGCGGGATCAACCTGGGCCCAGACTGGTCTATGTACTGCTGTGCTGCACTACCAAGCAAATACACTGTTCTGGATCTGTTCTACTTCTGCCCCTCCAGTGCCTGCTTATTCGCCCTCAGCACAGCCCCTGGCGAAGGATATGGACGTTGCTGAAAGAGCGGACCAACGGCTGTGGTGTCTGCTGCCCTTGGCTGGGAACCTTGCAACCCAGTGCTCCATGTGCCCTTTGGTGCATCAGAATATGAGGCCTGCACAGAAATGGGCAAAAACACTTGTCGTCAGAAGTTTCCAACACAGAATGTCAAAGCAAATGAGTGCCATGTGCTACAGATGCCCCAAATGTTTGACAAACATGAAAATGTCCACATGCACGGAAGAAGAGTGAAGCGTCCACGGCATTCAAGGTCGAATTTCGACACCTCAGTGCAGCATATCCACCCACAACCATTCCTACTGCGGCACTCATGTTGCTTGCAATATAGTGTCGGACAATGGGCCACTGTGTGCAATGTCTTCTGGTGGGATAGGTTGCGGAACTGGCCAGTACTACACACCATGATATGTGCACGCCCTGCTGGCCGTGGGCCCTCCCTCATTCTGAGACATTTGTTGGAGGGCATTGTTGCATGTCCTTTGGATCACAGCCAATGCCCCAGGGTTTTCTCCACATAAGGAAGCTCATCTGCTCTGCTCATATCTCAAATCTTTGACCAAGCTGCGGCAACTACACCTCCGGGTGGCAAGCACATGGGAAGCGAGCAGAGGGCACCCTTGGCACTCGAACACTAGTCCATGAGGATAAAGGGCAACATAAGGGGCTGCACAGCTGGCAACCCAGCATACATGAACAATGCCATCGCCGTAGCATGTTCAAGGTCAACAGCTGCCTGCCATCCATGCCCAATGCACTCAGGGAAGATGTTCACATATGGTCCTGGAAAACTCACCGGATCCATGGGATCCATTTCCTCAGCCCTGGCACGGCCTCGGTTCCTCCTTGCCTGTATGTGTGCAACTTCCACCTTCTTCCTCTGCTGGCCCTCAGCAGAATCGACCACCATGGCTACACTCCTTGGGCTGGGTCCAACTTTCGACTCCATCACAGGCTCCGATCCTGGCTTGGATGGTTCATCCTTGTAATAGCCAACACCTCTGGAGTCGCTCTTGAACACATAACCTGGTCTGGAACCAGAGAAGGTGGTGGAAGGGATGAATGCACTGCTGGTCGATGGCGCTGCCACCCCTGCGTCCGACGGCCTTTCCCACTGAGAAGTACCCAATGTGGGGTTGTAAAAGTAGGGTTGGGCTGTTTTGACATCCCTTGCCTCAAGCCAGCCACTGGGAAGGGGAGCCATAGACGACACTGGAGGCGAGGCCCATGGCTTGGTCCAGCTACGATCCCCAGTGGTTGGATTGTAGTAGTACGGATGGTTGTATGTCGGGTCCACTGCCTTGAACCAGCCCTGTGGAAGTGGTTCTGTTTCCCACGATGGCCCCTTGGCAGGGGGAGCATCAGCAGCGGCCTGGGCAGGGGCACTGCCGTTCTGAGGAGTGTCAGCCCTCCCATGAGGCACCTGGGACTTCATGGTCTCCTTGGCTGGCCCTGGCAGTATGCCCCGCATCATCAGCTTTCTCCTCAGCAAAGGAGGCAGGGTCTTCGCTGCCCCATCAGACCCCTCAAATTGTTGAGCAGGACCAGCAGCCTGCTCCTTGTCCTCTTCAGAGAACTCACTTTCATGCCCATGGACCGCAGGCTCCTGCTCAGATGCACCCCCATCCGGGATGAAAGGATCTTCTGCAGATTGAACAGTTTTGAGCACAGGCCGAGAGAAGTAGGACGGCTTGCGGACTTTTAGCTTCGGCTGCTGATCCACCCCCGTGGCCGCTTCATCACCTGCCGCCATCTCTGCTTCCCTGCTATCTGCCTGGGAACCCTCCCTGGACACTGCATCTTCCTTTCGGGCTTCAGCAGTCACCTGGGAGTTCTCCTCTGTTGGCTGTTGAGGAGGCTGAGCCCGGGCACCAGGCCCAGCTGGGCTTGTCTGCTCAGAAGCCGCCAGTGGGACATCACTGGGCGCAGCAACTGGTGCTGGCGGTGGCCCAGGAGGGCCAGGGGGCTTCAGGGGCAAGAGGTTTGCTGTTACATTCTGTGCTGGTTCCTGAAAACCAGCCTCAAGACGTTCCTCTTGAGCCAATGCTGGCAATGCTGAGCTAAACACGGGCACCGCAGGGGCCTGCAAGGCTGCAGACTCCTGTTCCATGCCAGAGTGTGTTCTTCCGGGATGCAGATGTAAGGCCACTGGTGGACTTGGGCTTGGAGCACCGGGCGGCCCTGGCAACTTGAACTGAGGAGGACCTGTTGGTTGTGGGGGTCCTGGGGGCCCAGGAGGCCCAGGGGGCCCAGGGGGTCCAGGAGGTCCAGGGGGGCCAGGGGGGCCAGGGGGAAAAGGACCTTGCAAGCTACCTGGGATTGGCAGTCCTGAATGCCGGAGTTGCTTGTCATCCAAAGGTGCATGTGGAGGAGCTGGTGGACGAAGTGGGCCAGGAGGTCCTGGTGGCCGAGGAGGGGCAACCTCTGCGCCATGCGTCCTGGCAGAGATGGCTTGGAGGACGGCACTGGGGGGCATGTAATTGGTCCAGTCACCAGCACCCCTCTCCTTCTCTGATGGCGCCAGTTTTGGGGGGCCCGTTTGCGAAACCATCTTCAGCAGTTTCCCCTGTTCAAGCAAGAAACTGGTGCTGCTTACATGTCTTGCCCAGAAAGGGGCTGGTGCATGGACAGCCTAAGTCAGCCGATGGCTAGTTCTCGCAAGTATGTCAGCAGGAACCAAAGAGGTGGCCAGCACTGCAGAAATAGTTGCTGTGGGTACAACAGAGAAGAACTTCCATTATTTGAGAGACTTTTCCCAACTCACATATCCATGGCAAAAAAACAGGATACACGGTGGAGCAAGAAACAGAGCAGAATGGGAATGCATGCCCATGCCTGCACAGCAGAAAACACAGCCCACAGACCCAATTACTGTCACCAGTATCCATGTTGTGGCACAGACACCAACAGATGAATCACAACTCCCATCTGTTGAGTTTGTGCTACAGACTGCATTTATCCAGAAAACTTCATGTGGTGCACAAAGCAGTGGTCAACTCTCTCTTCCCCTCTCAGAGAATTGTTATCAAATGTCTCACATTTGTGCATATTGTGCGGCCTGCTATGCAGTCGTATTTTCGTCTTAAGACAGCAAAGCTGCCCAATTTCTGGTGTCAAAACAGCGTGTCACCAGGCCTCTGTTCCTGTCTCTCAGATCTCTCAATACCTTTCTAGAGTTCTTGTGTTGTTACTTTTTTCTCTTTCCTTTTTCTTCCAGCAGGCACTTGGTCCCAACTTTCATCTTTCTTGGGTACCGTTGGCAACTGTTGACATCAGCACTTACCCAAGAGAACTCTGGCCAAGCAGATCGAGCGGGAGCTGGATGCTGTTGCAACCATCATCGTTTATCAGATGCAAGGGCTACAATTGTCACTTGCACATCTGTCGCAAAAGTAATCAATGGAGCCAACGCAACGAAAGACTGTAAAACTTGTGATTACAGCAACAGTGATGCGAACTGGGGCTAAATCTCAACGGCTTGTTTCCCAACCTGCACCATGAGCTTAATTTCGCCTGTTCATGACTAGCCTCCCTGTGCGGTCACTGTCACCGCAGCCTTGGAGCAGAGGGAGCGCCCACAACGGCGTGCACGTTCCAGTCGCACCTTCAGCATTGAAGCACTGGGCGCCTGCTCTCCCACCGAGTCGTAACCCTCAAGGGCCCTCTTAGCCACCCTGCATCCACCGCACGAAATTCACCAAGTGTTGCAAATCCTTCGACTACGTTTGTCCCAGCCACCGAATAGTCACCAGCCATCGCCCCTGCAGCCAATGGCGTCGCAGCCGGTGCATGCACAGCAACGAACCAGAGGACATGCCGCCCCCTGAGGCAGCCCCCAGAAAACTGCGCGCCCAAGCCGCCACCACAACCCTTCAAACACACCCGCCGCGCCAATCCCCTCAGCTCAAATCCTAACCACCGCGCCCGGCTTGGTGCCCGCCATCAAAGGCGCGGGAATCGCCAAATCGCGCCCAGTAGGGGCGTCGAGCGCGCCCGGCCCACTTCTACCTCTGCCTGGATATGGTCCCCTGGACCTCCCTCTCCTGATCCCACAGGACCGCCGCCTGAGCCCGGCGCTCCAGATCGTCGTCCTCCCGCCGGGGAGCCGGCGGCGGGCGCCGCGGCTGCCCCGGCGCGCCCTCCGTCATCCACGCCGGCAGGGTCATCTCCCTGCCGCGGCCGCGGCCCGCCATGTCCAAGCGGCTCGCGGATCGCCACCGCGCTCCGAACGGCGCAGCCGAAGGTGAGGACACTGCGCTCCGACGGCGACTGCTGGGCAACCGGTGCCAGCAACAACAATGGGCCGGCGTTCCCGACGGCCAGTTGTCTGACTCAGCTATCAAAGCGACCCAGGACGACTCAATTCGAGAAATCGGTGTCCGACGTGCACCGGCATGTGTGTGTTGCTGTCAAGCGGGCTCTTGTCTGTCCCCGCTTTGGGACGGTTTTCCATGCCATGACCATCATTCACTTTTACACAAAAGCCGCCAGCGTCCTATTTTGCCCCCTGTTTTACTATGCCATCCATTCAGCGCACCCTCCGCACTTCCCAGCGGTGCCGTGTGAAGAGTTCTTTACCTTTTCCTGTGTCGCCCATGGAGGGGTATATGGCTTGTTGCATTGTTCCAGTGCGGGTCCGCTGTGGCGCACGTGAGTGCGACCGTGTCTTGTTCCGACTGCTGAAGTCGCAGCTGCTGCCGATGACTCGCCTGCTGACATTCAGGGAGGGGATAAATCAGAATGAAGCCAAGAGAGTTCGTGGCAACAGCGGTTACCGTGGCAATTGGAAGACAGCGTTTCTGGCGGGATGACCCGGCTGCTGACCGTGACCAGGGATGGTGCCAGCCGCCAGCTCAAGAAATGGGACAAGCTGGCCATAGGCAGGGAGGACTGGCAGGAGGGGTGGTAATTGACTGAAACTGGTAGGTTCACACCACTGTGCAGGGTTTATGGGCCAAACGCAGCAATTCGTGATTCATATGCTATTGCAGACTTGTAACTGTAGGGAGGCGCCATATTGCACCACTGTTAGGATGTTTCACAGCTTCAACCCCTGCTAACAGGGTGTGCTTTGTGTGCTCCAGCGTGCAGTGCGATGATGCAACACAGGGCAATCGGCTGCACACAATGTGTGCAAGGTCCTCAGGAGGACAACATTATTCTTGTGGCAGCGACAAGAGCGCTGCTGTGCACTAGTTTCCCTGCACCACTCACGACCACATCACCCAGCTGTTGGAATCGATATACACACTGTCCAACACATCACAATCCCAACAATCCGTCCTGACCACGTGCTTCATGTGAAACCTGTTTAAAGCAATTGCTGCCGCTGCCGCTGATCGTGCCTGGCAGTCGTTGCCCAGCATCTGTCCCATCGCTTACATGGTTGTTTACATGGCACCTCTCTTAACCACCAAATGTCCTGTACACCGCAAGCCTCATCGGCGCCTTTATTCCCACATATTCATCCCGAACAGACACATCCCGCCTGCGAATTGGGACCCACGTGCTTCAGCTCTGGTGACAGAGCAGGTTTGATTCAGAGGCACGTTGACAGATCCTCAGTAAGGGAACCAGCGTCCACGGCTGCGACCACCAC